CATGTAACATGTCCCCTAGTGTGTGCGAACCTAAATATTCAAGAACATACCTTGAGGTCCCTGTGGACCCTGGCTTCCCTGTGGTCCTTCTGGACCAGTTTCACCTGCAAAAAATACATCAGCACCCAATCAGAATTGTGCTTTTCTTTGGGATTTTTTTTCTATTATGTGTTCATGGCACTTTTACTAAACATTTTTGGTTGTGTAATTAATCTCTCATTACCCACAACAAAAAATAAAGTAAAGGTGCTACTGGAAAAAGCTGCTGCTGTCAAGGGAGAAAACTTCACTTCTGAAAGAAATTTGAAAATACTTTTGCCATGGAGTCTGTTTGTACTGCTAAATGAACTAGGTATTTTCTCTAAAACTGTTGGATTATATTTATGAAAATTCCAGAAACATTCAGTAGATTTTCTTGCAGATACGCCGTATTCCTGCTGTTACAATGTAGGTATTTATAAGGCACATGGCTTGTCAACAAGTTTTGACATAGTACTTACCCCTCTCCCCCTGGGGACCAGTTGGGCCAGCTAGGCCTGTCTGACCTGGTCAAAGAACATTATAAATTTACATCATTCAGCATTTAGCATTTCTGGCAGTACAAGCATTTGATTGCCTGGGTTGTCCCATTCAAAAAATTAGGCTGGGACAAGAAAATAATATGTACCAAGTAAAATGAAGTTAATTATTATTAATGAAAATATTAAGCTAAGAACCTTGTCACATTTCTGTTCAAACATTGTCTGATCAAAAATAAACGTACCAACCTATCCCACAGAAGACCTTGGCTAAGAAGTCTATATGATCCTTGAAGCTATTTTAGAAAAAACCTTTTTGTTTTAATCTTTTATTCAGTATTTTATCAAACATCAATTTAGGTAACATTTAGTAATTCGTTGTTACATTTTTAAAAAACAAAAGAAATTAATTATATCACATTTATTTTTTATATAAGGAGGTTTTAATAAATAATTAAAAAGAAATTTACATGTACCTTCAAGTTAACAATTTGTTAAGTGTTCCAGCTTAAAATAATGAGAATTTATAAAATTTAATTTAATTTCAGATTTTTTACACAAGACATGTTAACACACATCATGATCAGGTACCTTTTTCACCCAGGTCCCCTTTGGGCCCTTTTTCACCCTGAGGGCCTTTTCCTCCAGTGGCTCCTGTTTCTCCTTTCTCACCTGGGAGCCCTTGAGGGCCTGTCTCACCATTTATGCCAGGTGCACCTAAAATCAAATCCCAAAATGTCCCAGGGGACATGTTAACCATCATCACATGATGACCTCTTGGTAGGGAACATCACTTCTTAATTCCATCTATGTGGATAGGTACAGATTTTCTGAGACTAGGCTAATGCTTATAAATTGCTGTCAAGGGTTACAAGGCAGCCATTACAATCATGTCCCATGGAGATTTCTGGATTTCTGGATGTTTGTGTAGCTGCCACAGTAACAAGGGCATATGGTATATGGTTTATTTTGCCATGTAGTCCATGCTTTTAGCCATTTTACAGTTGCCTGATCAGTGACCTGGCCTTTCAATGGCAGCGAGGCAGGAGTTGACCTTGTTTTGATACAGACCTTACTTTTGTTGTGTAAAACAAGTTGTTCCGATGCTAACTAGGTGCATTTACATGACAAAAGCAGTGAGGTCTGTATCAAAACAAGGTCAACTCCAGCCTTGCTGCCATCGAAAGGCCAGGTCACTGAGCAGACAACCGTAAATGGTCTATTGGTGAAGTATTCATCCAGGTAACAGAAGTCTTGGTGACATGTCAAGAGGAAGACAAGGTGCTTTAATGAGCCTATCAGCCCTGTTCCTGTCAGTAGCATTCTATGAGCTTATCGGCCCTGTTCTATAAAAAGAAAAAAAAAAAAACCACCAAGTGCTCTCCATAGTGTTCCACTTAGTACTCTTAGTAACAATTATTACTAGTATGCTTAGATTCATGGCAAATTTAGGATGTTTTGATGCTGGGTTTGTTTTGCATTTACAGCACACACTAGTGGGTGAATCTGAAATTAAAAGAGTGCTGGTTTGTTTGTGTCCTTGGAGATTTTTAATCTGAATTTAAAAACAAGAACATTGTATCTGAATACTGCAAAATCTACAATGTGTTCAAGTGTAAACAATCCTTAATGAATAATTTTATGTTTTCTGCCTCCCTTGGTAACCATTTGGGTATGAATGTACGGTCAGGAGAATGTCAAACCAGCAAAAGCGTCTGGAACGAAAATTTATGGCTTCCACTCATTTGACTTTCACCTAATGTGACTACCTCCTCCTCCTGGGTCTCTAAGATTGGAATGTTCCTAGATTATTGATGTGTGTACTGTTATTTATTTATGTGTGTTACAGTTATCATACTTGATCATAAAGCACATTTTTTCATCTTTGGCACCAAACAGACTAATCTGGTAACACTTTTTAACGTCTCAACCAGGCCTTAGTTTACATTTTTCAATTGATTCTTATCAATATTATTAGGGGATGTTAAGATTATTAAGTCAAAAAGTAAATCAACATATTGTTACATGTATTTTAAGGCTTACAAATTTAAGAGTCAATGATTCATATTAAAATTTCATTCTTTAAATATGTTAAATTCTTTATTTATATATTAGTTATTAATATTAAAATTTACATTTTTAAATGACAGAAGTACCTTGTAACCCATCAGCACCCGGTTCCCCATTTTTGCCTGGTTTCCCTGTGTCTCCTTTTATCCCAGGACTACCAGGCAGACCTCTTTCGCCATTTTTGCCAGGTATACCTAATATGGACGTGCAACAATATCCAGTACAACATTCATAAACAATTAACCATTTTTGAGCTTATTTCAACCAAACCTTCAGACTCCTTAGTGGTCATCAACGTGCAAGGAAAGTCTGTCTGATGAAATAGCTAGGACTAAGGATTTTTCTGTCACCATCAGTGGATTTTACTTAGGGCAAGAAACATTTTTGGTTTTTCACTTGAGATGTTATGGTAGACAATGAAGGGCAACTGAGAAAGGCCCTTTAGCTAAACTAAATTTTATGACTGAGCCAACTTGCCTGAGTGGCAACCTGAGAAATCTTTTTTCTTTGATCCCTGCTGGTCATCAAGGAAACTTAGAAAGACACAGGTCTAAATCTGTAATAGATTATTCCAGTGAATTTTTCAACTATTTGCTGCAGATACCAATAAATGCCTGATATAAGAGTGGCAGTTTTGATTTATATTTATCCGAACAGTGGCTTGGATATCTGTATCATGGTGGCAATATGATTTATCCATTGAAATGGATTCTGCTCCTGCTTTGAATTCTGCAATCTCAAATTTATCCTGATGATTGTCCCCTCCCCACCCCAACCTCATTCCCAGGGCCTCCCTTCTTCCTGCCAAAGAAGAGAGACCTTGGGAATGTGGTTGTCCCCACTCCTCGACTGTTTTCAACATGGTAACATAATTTATTGTTTTATTTATAAGCAGTATTAGGAACCTTTTTATGGTTTAGACATTGATTTTTAAAGTTTTACAAATTATTTATTAGTTCATTTACCTTGCTTCCCTTCATCCCCCTGGGGTCCTTTTATCCCCTGGGGGCCTTGTATCCCTGGGATTCCCTGGTCACCTTTCTCACCCGGATTTCCTTGAGGGCCCATTGGGCCTCCTTTCCCAGGTACACCTGCATAATGGTTCCACTGGATCATCAGTGTCAAGTTTTGCAATAATCTAACGTTTTAAACTCAGAATTAAGCAAAGTATAAGTTGATTTTAGTATTGTGTCGTAAATTGTAAGTTTTGTAACGTAAGTATTCTGTGATTGTGATGTAATATATACAGAATCCATGAAAAAAAAAAAATAATAATAATAATATCATTATAATAATAATAATAATAATAATAATAATTTAACATTTTACGTACAGTTGAACCCAGCTATTTTGAACTCTCAGGGGAAACGAAAAATAGTTTGAAATAGTGGTAGTTTGAAATAAGAGATAGAAAGTGACTGAAGGGCAAGTCCCGGAAGAGAGATGTTTTGAGTTCGAAATAACGGGGAATTCGAAATAAGGGATCCAACTGTATTCTTATTGGCTAATTTCATATTATTATGGGTTTAGCTCTGCAGAATACAGTACAGTTTAAATGGACTCTGGGAGGCATAGGTAAAGTGAGAAAATTAGTCAAATTAAAATTAGTATTTTACCATAATTATAATTTATAACAATATTTAATAATTTTAACTTGATCCTTTAAATAAAGAAAATATATCCATGATAATGAAAATATTTAAATTTAATGAAAAATATTTAAATTTTAGTTTAAAGTAAATTACAATAATTGAAAATATTGGGCAGTGAAAAGTGCTTTATGATGCTTCATTGAAACACCTCACTTAGTCAGTTCTGTAATATTAATTCACTTCGATCTACATGTAAGCCGTGTCAATATTTAGCCAAGTTTTATAAACATATATCATACATCATTATTCAAAAAAGCCTTATATCCTTGTAAATTAATATTCCACCTTGATTAGTTTCTGTGGCAATGTTTAGTCTATTCAAAATATAATAGTCATTTAATTAAACAGAACGCGTTCCACAGACGCAACGGCAGTGCCACGTCAACAGAAATTGGTGACAAAAAGAATTATTACGACGCTTACATGTGTAGTGTCTCTCAAGGCTTAGTCTAAATATTATAATCGTGAATGCTGATAGATTTTAAAAAGAAACCAGGTAAAAACTATTTGCTGCATATTCTAATATCCAATTGTATCAAAAGGGTATCATATCATTTCGATTCATTTTCAGCGATGTCCTCGAACGTGACATGTCACGACATAAGCTTCGTCATATGGGCAGTCGATTGCGTCTAGTCCATTTCAAACCAACAAACTTAGATCAAATTATTACAGCCTTTTGCCTACTGACGAACGACGAACAAAAATGAAAACGTTACCATATATCCCGAAACAAAAAATTCGATATGGCTATGTCAACATTGTTAAAAGGAAAGAGCTCTTGTATATCTCAACTGCACAAACAAAAGGAGAGAAATTGAAATTACTCACCGGCTACTCCGGTCTCGCCTTGCGGACCGGCTGGACCTGAAATAAGTGAAACAAAAGAGTAAAACCAATTTCTTCGTTAATGCATTCAAGCACCTAAACCCTTATTAATGAATGCTAAGTAATCTTGGGTATCTTATTCAACTTAACGTCTGTGTATATTGGAGCTACCATTACAAGCAGTAAGCATGCATGACTTATTACCTCTTTCGCCTGTTTTTCCAGGAGGACCCTCGCATCCTAAGAAAACATAAAAACACATAAACAGTTATTTCAGAGAAGGTGGAATCAAGATATTTGGAGGTATGTTTGATCCGCACGTTTTGGATTAAAAAATGTACGCTTAGAGATTAATCACAGGATTTTTGACCTTTCCTGGCCATGAATTGAGCTAAGATCGATATATTTACTACGGGTATTGAAAGAGAATCTACAATTAAGTTAACTCGTCAAATTTCACACAGTTTAGAAGTACTCTAAGTATCTAAAACATCAATCAGAAATTTACCTTTTATCGGAATAAGTCCATAAAGCATGGCAAAGTTCATTGCCATAGATGAAGTGGCGATTAAAAATATGAGAAGCTGAAATACGGAGAATCCTCCAGCAGCGGGAGCCGTTCCTTTGGTTTGGACCTCCTTGATTCCTTTCCTCCCGGTCATAATGCGTCAGTATCACAATCAGATGATATTTGTTTTAGAGGAAACGAAGTATAGATGGAATCGATATGTACACGGGTTCTTCAGAAAAAGCAGAAATGTGGAGATGAGCAAAGAAAGTATTTTGACCGAGTGGTACGGAGATCTGGGACCAAAATAGTGCAAAGTAGTTTTTATTCTCCCTCGGTCAAGACTGGACGCCTGCTGAAAAAGTTAATTGCTGACAACAAGAATTTTGAAACTATTGACACGATGAAAAAACTTTTGGCAATGAAGAAGAGTAAGCAAGCTACAAATGTCACTACAGAATCTGTTCTTGAAAATTATGCGAGTCGCCCGACCACTGCTTGGGATCTTCTCGAATCATCACAGGTTGTTAAGTCATTGAAACCAAATCATGCTGCACAACCCAAACCGGCGGGGCACACAAGATTTGTCTGTATCTCAGACACGCACAATAGGACGGATAAAATGGAACATGTTATTCCTGATGGTGACATCTTGATCCACGCAGGAGACTTTACAAGCTTTGGATCGCGAGATCAAGTAATCCATTTTAACAATTTTTTAAGCACTCTAAATCATCCACACAAAGTTGTGATCGCCGGAAATCATGACATTTCGTTTGATCTCAAGAATTATGATTCTTTATGGTCAAATTTTTCAAGGACGCGAGAAGATCCCGTGGAAATTCGTCAAACGCTCACCAACTGCATTTATTTAGAAGACGAAGAGGTGACTTTGCTTGGATTTCGAATTTTTGGCTCTCCCTGGTAAGGGACAGGTGCACTCACATGTACATGTAGCCTACTTGGCGGTGAAGTTGTAGAAATGCTGACCTTATGAATGTTTTGAATCTCAGTTTTTTTTACTTACATAAAGGCAATGTTATAATCAGACTGTTAGCCTCCTATGCAGACATTCTTTTGGCTAATATTCCACACAAGCCAAAAATGTGCGCATTGGAGGCCGATACCGTAAATCCTCAAATTAGCG